ACTTTTACCACTGTTAGATGATGAGTTAGTTATGTCAGAAGTGTAAAAAAAAATTGGGGGGTGACCGACTTCGTTTTTGAGAGAACATGCCCGGAAGAACACCCTAAATCTGAAAACAACGGGCTTCGTTAGGGAATAACGACGCAGTGTCTGGAAGCCCCAAAATACTGCAATTAGATCTTTGAAGTTAAATGTTCTCTGCCAAATATTGTTTAAGCTGACCTATTACGTGAATTTAGTCAACTGGTGAGGTTCCATATAGAACAAGTTCGCATTTAGCGACCATAGTTTCAAGCGCCTTGCAACCTCAAGGTGGCAGGATTCGATGTCCCGTGGACAGAAATCTTGAATTTTTTTAACTTCCCACATTGATTTTTTTGTTCATTTTTGGACAATGTGGAGATAATTGTAAATAAAATCTGTTTCTGGAAAGAAAAGTAGGGGTCACAGAACGTTCAAGACCGTTAAATCCAAGCAAAGCTATAGCAATGGCCATCTGCTCTATCATTGTTCATTTTAAATGGTTTGAACCCAGGAGTATCAGTAGTTCGTATAGTGTGATCGTCCGGGTGAGAGTAGTTCTGAAAAGAACTGTTGTTGGTGACTTACGTTTCGACAACCTGAGCGGGAGTCATCTTCAGAGTCAAGTGACTTGCCTCTGAAGATGACTTCCGTTCAGGTTGTCGAAACGTCACTCACCAACAACAGTTCTTTTCAGAACTACTCTCATCCGGACGATCACACTATGCGAACTATTGTTCATTTTAGTACTTAGCGCGCGCGCCCGATGCATGACGTGGCGTGTGAATTTACGTGCGCAGTAAGGATGCGCAGAAACAATTAGCGCGAACGCCCTTAAAGGATGAAGCAAACGCAAATTGACACCCTATTGGCACAAACCCGAAAAACGGCGCCCTGTTCAAGGGAAAAACAAAAACATCAATCACTACAAACATTCAACAGTTAACATTTAACACTTAACAATTTAACATTTTTCAACAACGCAGGCCGTTTGCAAAACCATAATGAATCTATATCTACATTACGTTTAATAAATTTCGAACTGTTGTTAGATGGTAACCTGATCGATAACATTCAGCAAATCATTTTCAATGACGCCACCACCAGCCACGAAACACGCGGGTTTACACGCTGAAATTCTCCTGTGAAGGTCTGAAGGTCCAATATTTGCTGGGGCAGGAACTAATACAGCACCTGAAGGAAAACATATATAACATAAATAGAAAACGCTAGCTTAATTCAGTAGCAAGTTGAAAAATAAGCCTCGCTCTAAATGGAGAAAAACAACTTCAGAACTTACAGTCTCCCCCAGATGTCTAGGGACGCCTCACCAAAGCGTTTTATCTTCATCTCCCCTCGCTATCCCGAACACAATATTGATGTTGATCTATTCAACGGTGACACAATATACTGTACCAATTCCGACAAATTCAAACAACATTAAAAAATGACTAAACAATCACAGTTTGTCAACCGTCCCAAACAGTTTCACCAGGATAAACAACAGCGACTTCATTTTCACAATATTTATCATATATACACTAAGAGAGGTAAAAAGCCCCACATCATGGGTGTATTTTGGAATTGTCAGGCACCAAAACGGGCAGACAAATTTGAAATGTAAAGAGACTTACCTGTCCTTATACACGCTAGTTGAACCAACAAGTACTCGGGAATTCTGTGCACTAAAATCATTACTCTGTCTCCTGGCTTGATGTTGGCAGCGGTCCGCAAAACGTTTGCAGCCCTGTTAGTTGAGAGAAATCAGGTTACGTTTATTGTGGTTATTGATCATTGCACAGAGGAATGTCTGAGAATGTTTTCAGATTAATGAAATGAAATGAAACCCCCACTCCAAACAGTTCTTCGCGAGTGCTTTACCCATTTTATATAGCTTAATAAGCTTGAGACGAGGTACATTTTATAATTGCTTTCCGGCTTTAGACGGAATCTTCTCAATCTTCCCAGAGGTCGCGATGCTTTCGGTCATCACAAAGAAACGAGAACTCTGGGCGGGGCCAACACTGGAAATCTTCAATTCACGGACTTTCTGTCAAATTGGAGAAATCTGATTGGCTCAGAAGACAACACGAATACATGGGCATGTAAAAAAATATCGGGTCCGGCGAGAGGTCGTGATTGCTGGTGTTCATGAGAAGAATCGCGGCGTCTAGGGACGAGAATGTCAAACAACATCGAATACAACAAGAAATAAAAGCAGATTTTGATTAGTTTACACGGACTAGGGGACCAGTTTGTTATTTGATATCCAACGGTTAATCAAATCAAGAATCTAGAGGCTTACCGCTTTGAGTTTGAAGCAAGATCTTGAAAATTCCACTTCACCTCTAGGCCTTCGCCATCCACCCACCACAAAGCGGGAATGTCACTTTCTTTTTGACCATTCTAGGACGTGAACCCAAAGTAACCACATTTCACTTTGTTCCGAGAGGTATACATACAGGAACAACATCTAAATTTAATAAAATTGCCAAATAGCCGCTAAATCTTGTAAATATGATGTTAAAAATGTACGTATGTGTCCTAGATGGATATAGTGCTCAAACGTGAAGACTGTCGTGGCTTCGGTGTTGGGAGTGATAAGGGTGACGAATGGTCCTTCAGAAATCATTTTTTGACGAAAAACCAATTTTCGTCGAATTTCACTGGTCTCACAGTCTCGACTTTTTCGCAAAGCTGTTTCGTAGTCTCATTTTTTGCACGGCTAAGACAGACACGACGTACCAACGTGCTTGTTTTTTTGTTTGTTTGTTTGTTTGTTTTTTAATTTATAAATGGAGCCTCAACTGACGTCTTAGAACCTGAACGTCTCGAGCTCGCATTAAAAACACTTTGAGTCTCGGCCTAACAATAGAAGAAGTCCAAATGTCTCGGATTCGCAAAGAAAAACGCTAGTCTCGCCATCTCACAACGTCTCGCATTTACGATTTACCACCCTTAGTGATATCTGGCGAGATGACGTTATCCTGGAAGTTTTGGGTCAAGACTGGTAAGGTCGTCTATTTTGGATGTACCTGGGTAAACAAATAACTAGTAGTAATTGTAGATTAAAGAGTGCGTTCGAATATTGGTCAATGTTTTACACTGACCGGAACCCTACGATTCTGGACCGTGTGAATCGACACAAACGTTGCCTGTTCCGTCGGTATGCGAGACGACGTGCTTTTATTATCAAAACTAGGACAATTATTTTGTTTACATGGAGATGACGTCATTCGTCCCTGACGAATTTTTGAGGGGAAAGAAAGACACATAGCAAGATACATACAAAGAAAGTCGATTTCTTTTTTCTCCATTACCCGACTAGAACTGCGTTCTCTCGAACGCAATAAATGAAGAATACATAAATTGGAATTGACAGAAGCAAATCGCAATGAGAGGCTTTAAGTCCACTATTTCCAGATCAAAACCAATAGGCATATCAAAGGGTACAAAAAAGATACTGTAAAAAGCCGTACATTACAGTACATTAAAAATGCTCATAGTTTTCTGGGCTGAAACTGAAATCAAATCC